CACCTATATATATATATAATGGTAGGGGCGCTCACCGATCGTTCATACGGAACTCACTCGTTCCGTTGTGCCTCAACGGCTCTCTCTCGAGTCCAACCAGCAGCCGCACAGCGGCGCATGATATATAGGCAGAATGGCATTACCGACAAAGACAAGGGGGACTGGAATGGCCATTTCTGGCTTATTAGTCGTCGTCAGCCAGTCATACCAAGCCCGAAGTGTGGAACACCCGACAAGGCAACGGGCTCGTGGCGCGGTGGTTAGAGGCCTGGACTTCTAACCAACAGGTCGCGAGTTCGAGGCTCGGGTGTTCCACACTTCGGGCTTGGGTATGGCTGGCTGACGACGGCTAATAAGCCAGAAGTGGCCATTACAGTCTCCTTTGTCTTTGTCGGCAATATCATTCTGCCTATATATATATCTGGCCTCACCCATACGGTGATACATCCCACTCAGTCTGACTGAGGGTGGGACTGGCTGCTGTGACTGGCGTGGCGTAAAGCCCCCGTTTAGCGTCCGCCACGCGCGATATAGGATGCGTCGCCCATTATCAACGATGCTAGCGGATGCGTTTGCGTGACTGATAACGAGAAGGTAATGTCCAACAAGGACGTTTTAAACGTTGCGCATTCTTCTTTTCCCGCTTAGCCTCCTTTAGGAAATTTCCTCATTTTGTGCAGAAATTGTTTCCACGTTATTTTTTTCAGCAAAATGTTCATAAATTTGGTCGAAAGTGGACGTCGCAGTATACTCGGGCACTTCTCTACGTTAATACCTGTTACAGGCTTCGGTTGCCCATCTTAGCGGATTTTTCCTTGGAAGGAGAGTAATTTCCACCAGGGAGTTTTTGTAAACAGAGGTTGCCGGACTTAGAAATAAATTTTTTATCCTATGGTAACCGTGGTGATCAACTCCTATAATAAAGGTTATTTTAAGAGATCCAGATGTTTCGTCGATTTATGGAATTCAGATCAACAGACCTCTGCGATTTTGTGTCCTAAAGTGCAGTATTAACGCACACAGGCAAAACTTCATTTAAATGGACTAAAATTGTTTTGCCGTTTGGAAAGTTTTACGTGCTGTCACAGGAATGACCACCACCAAACTGTCATTTTCAGCTTTGTACATATTAAATATTACATTTTGTGCGGTCCTTGCGTTTGCGGTCGAAAAATATCAGTATGTTTTAGCAAAGTGAAAGAAACGGTCGAAAGCGTCAGTTTTTTTCTTGGCCTCACTCTGTAACAAATTAAAGTGCTCAGTCATTCGTCAACGGAATGCAGTAGGAAAGCACTCCTCATAGAGGTAATTTATTAGAGAAAGTTTTCTGATTGATCTAAGGCATAATCGTTGTTGGTTATCGTTGTGGACGTCAGTTTTATCCAACGATGTAGGTTTCTGTTTGCGTGGTTCTTCAAATGTGACCCAGATGACGTTCTAGGTGAAAAATAAAACTCAAACACTCGCTACTTCGGTAATGCTTCCAAGAATTACCTTAACTTAAAGTTTTTAACAGACGCATAATATATAATCCGTCCTTGTGGGCGATGGGATGAAAACACTAAAAATCGTGAAACATTCATCGATACTTCAAGGCCGATCTGAAACGCAACGTAATCCTGAACGAACGAAAAGCGCCAATTAATTTAACGGAAGGAAAGTTCTTTTTATAAAGACAAAATGGTATGCTTACGATGACACATACCAATTTTATTTAAAATTATTTGGCACTAATCGGAACGGCAACATGTGACCTTATGAAAAATTTTGTTCCTATCATGTCCCTGTCGGCGAAATCGAGGGCAATCTTGCTTTTCTTATTGAGTCGCATCTCATTTAATTAAAAAGACTAAAGGTTACCACGAATCCTCGGAAAACTGTTTCGGAATCTATACTCAGAGTGTAGGCTATTGGCAAGGCGCCATACCTGGAATTACACTAATTCTAAAAGGATATTTAAATGTCAACTTCACTAAAACAGTATTTTTAACTGTTATTCTAGTTGTGCTTTCATATTCACTCATTTTTTTTTCATGGGTAGACGTTTCGAAAATTTAAAAATGAAGTTTACTAAATTGCTACCATTTTGACGCTTTCGGGATTTTGCATGTTTCTAAAAAATTGTCATTTCTAAACAACGAAAAATCGTCTTTATGATTTATTTTGTGTTTTTAATTCTGTTAAAGTTGTGCTTTATTAACATAGATATTAGGTCCACGGATTGGGGTGGGTTTGCGAGTGATTAGCAAGCATTCGTAAATGTCGATACATTTCATGAGTTAGGTCACCCACTGTATCAAGAGGCTGTGGGAGGCGATAATAAATAAGGAAGTAAGAAGAAAATGGCGAAATAAGGAAGAAGTGTAGGTAGATGAAGAGACTTTGAAGAAGAGATGAGGGGAAATAAGGCAGTAGTCGAAAGAGTCACAAACGAGGTAAGCTACGGCACACCAACGGTTTTGTACCAATTTGCAAAGAGTCCGCCGGCTCTGACTTTGATCTTTTTGCCTGCTGCCAGATCTGGTGGAGGTCGGGTCTTATTTCAACTAACTCTAGTACTTATGCATATGATAACCTTCTGCTAGTTCATTTTCGATTGCCATGTAGGATGGCAAAGAAGATGCTACGTTCACGGCAATATACCTATCTGACATCCAACTTTTCGATGAGCAAGTTCGACTCTCCATCCTCCAAAACCGGTGGGTCCGTTGTACCGTTGACAGCTCACGATGACCGACTTGCGGCTGTTACTGGACCTCACTTGTGTGGAAGTGGCTGACACAGATGGTGATGGTCGGACGCAGGGAAATTTTCAGGCCAGGGGCCTTGCACTGCCGATCGAGAGAAGAAATGCTCCTTGAGGCGTCAGATATCTTAAAAATAATTCCTATTAAGTGTTTCTTATCTTATTTGCTTTGTCTATTCTCTTTAATCTAAAATGTAAACCGACTGGGATGGGCGGACATATATGCGACACTATCCTCAAGGGGTGGACAGAACGAAGACAGGAGAACCTACTAAATAACGACAGTAGAGAAAGAAAAAGGTAGTAAGGGCTAAACAAAGGGAGGTCAGATGTGGTTATGTATCCCCACCTGAAGTAAACAAACCCCAGCCGCCTGTAATAAGGGACCGGTTGTAATAGGGGTTCTTACAGGTGAGGCCGGGGAACACACAGGCGACGGGGTCAAGTAGCTGTATGCAGAAGAAAAGCTATTGAAAATGCGCGGTTGTACTTTGAGTGGTTGAGAAATAAATGCCCTAACCCCTGACCCTAACCCTAACCTCTAACCCTAATCCCCAACTCGCACACCTAATCCGAACCCCTGACCATAACCCCTAATCCTAAGCCTTAACCCCAACCCCAACAAAGTTGTGTCCATCAGGTGGGGTTACATAACCACATCTTACCCAAAGGGATTCGCTGTAACAGAAAAGCGGATGAACTGCTCTTAAAGAGGGCACCGACTCTACCGGTAGAGTTCAGTTGCAATTATTGTTTTGTCTCCAAAATTGTACAAATTATCCATAGACGAAAACGAAACGGTCCGGTCTATTAGGATTCGCCAAGACCAACGGTTGTAATACAACCTCGACGGGATCATAAAAAAACGCGGGACCTAAAGGGCTGCTTGTAGCCGCACCAGCCTTCTATTTACTTACTTGCCTGTCGTCAGTTTATAACTCGCTGGGCTTATTTAAGTTATCCACCTGGGCGACCAGGCGATATCTGAAGGATCAGAGTAGCTCACTGTTATCATCTAGGCACTCAGTGAAATTTCATGAGGCGACCGAACTTGCGGAGGAACTAGTCTTGCTGGCTTACCAAGAGCATCTGTTGGGGCTACAAACAGAAGTATTCGCTTTCTCGTTATTCATTGCCTGTCCCACCAGAATCATGATCAGCGAACTGTCGCATGGTCTTCACAGTTGTACTCTGGAGGCCGGTCTTCTTTCAGCTGCTATGTCAACGGGGTCACGCGCGCGTTAGCGAGCACAACCAAGCTGTTTATCAACAGTCTGACCTAAGGATTTTCAACCTCCCTACTGGCTCCTTCAGATCTGTTGGAGTGCAAAACATCGGACAACAAAAGCCCCTGTTCCAACGTTCGAGCACACCCCAGCTTAGTTGCTAATTGGAACTCGCTTTTTTTTCACAGACATCAGTGCATATTCTCTCCGTGAACGTCTTGTAACCCTTGCTCGACTCCTCTTCCCCTAAGTAACAAGTATACAACAGAGTATAAGATAGTGGGGCCTCATAAATGCGACACTCTAACAGGGGCTGGCACAGTGAATGACTAGATTATCACTCGCGGTATCCAAATCTGATTTATCTGGTGCTTGGGCCGCGCATTTTTCAGACCTTAGGTTGGATCGCGGGCAGAAAAGGATAGTCAAACATAAAATGACACCATCTAGGCACTCCTTTCTCATCCAGAACTTTCTCTGCAACTCTGAGTCCCCCTCCCATTTGGGTAACCTGCGGCGTAGTGATGTCAACCTAAACCACATAACTGATCTACCTTGTCATTTTCCCGATATTTGTGTTCGCAATCCCCTGTCATCACTTGGTCCATTTTGAAAAAACGGAGGCCCTGTAGGACACAATAACAGGAATCCCCCTCTCGTTGTGCAGGTGACCTTGCGCTACATCCCAGGGAGTTTAGCATTATAGTTAGGGTTAAGGTGAAATTTAAGGTTAGGATTGTGAGATGGAAATGGGTACCGTTTCTAGAATTTAGCGTAAAGTCACCTGAATAACGTAGGGAGGGTTCCCATTCCTGTGTCGTAGTGGAGACAATTTCTCTTCTCAATGTTTCCTGAAGTCATTCAGTCAGGAGCTGCGTGCATTTGAAGGAGGTATTCATTTTGCGAGATTTTACGCACTGTTCACTTTGTAGGCTTTATCAGGAAACTGAAATTTTTCCGCCAAATAAAACCTATTATGGACGCTCCGCATTCCTAGTCTCCAATGCTTGCTTTTCAGCTCCCAGGACATGGGGCTTACGGGATTCAACACAGAACTAGATGGAGAGGCATTCGCAAAGACCAACGGAGTGAAGCAGGGATGCTTGCTGGCGCCTACCCTCTTCAGTCTTATGTCCTCTGCCATGCCAATGGACGCCTACCACGATGAACGCCCCTGGATCCGCATCGCCTACAGGACGGACGGTCACCTCCTGAATCAACGACGGATGCACTTCCAGTCGCGCGTATCCACAACCACCGTTCACGAACTTCTCTTCGCCGACGACTGTGCCCTGAACACCACCTCGGAAGAGGAGATGCAACGCAGCATGGACCTGTTCTCCGCCGCCTGCGAGAACTTCGGTCTGGTCATTAACACGCAGAAGACGGTGGTGATGCACCAACCGCCACCCAACTCGGCCACAGCCCCCAACGCGCCGCCGCAAATCAGCGAGAACGGAACCCAACTGCAAGCTGTGGAGAACTTCCCGTACCTGGGCAGTACTCTCTCCCACAACACCAAGATCGATGAAGTAGTCGCCAAAAGGATCTCGAAAGTCAGTCAAGCCTTCGGTCGCCTCTAAAGCACAGTTTGGAATCGCCACGGTCGTCAACTGAAAACGAAGATGAAGATGTACAAGGCCGTCATCCTGCCGACGCTACTGTACGGAGCGGAGACCTGGACGGTGTACACAAAGCAGGCACGCCGTCTGAACGACTTTTACCTCAGTTGTCTTCGTCGTATCCTGAGGCTGAACCGGCAGGATCGCATCCCCGACACTGATGTGCTGGAACGAACGGGAATTCTCAGCATCTACTTCATGCTGAGACAAATGTAGCTGCGCTGGAGCGGCCACCTGGTGCGCATGGACGACTAGCGACTACCCAAACGACTCTTCTACGGAGACGTCGCGGCGGGTTCTCGCCGTCAAGGAGGCCAAATTCGTCGATACAAGGACACTCTTAAGTCCTCCCTGAAACGTCTACAAATCAACCCCACCAACTGGGAGGAGCTCGCACTCAATCGACCGACCTGGAGGAGGGCAGTGAAGACAGGCGCTGCGATCTACGAAGCCAGCCGCATCGCTGCCGCCAAAGTGAAACGCGAAGCCCGCAAATCACAACTTCGCCCAGTAAGTAACGCCGCCGCACAACCGCTTCCAACGTGTCCCCGATGTCAACGGACATTCCGGGCTCGAATCGGACTTGTTGGACATCTTCGGACCAACTGCGCCTCTCTAACTGCACCAACCATCTTCCCCCCGCCCGCCTATTCCTCGTCCTCTCCGCCGCCAACTAACTCTGACAATTCTCATGAACCACCACTTCTATCCTCCTCCTCCTCCT